ATCGTCATCGCTGTACGTTTTTGTCTTACCCTCTACCGCTGCTCACGGAAAGGGCTCCCAAATCAGCCACCGGTTGTCGCTATGTTTCCGCTGATCACAAACGGCAAGCAGCAAGTATGTCGAATCATCGAATTCGCGGGTAGAGAAGTCCAGCCTGAAAGACCTGTCGTAAGCCAACCCCCAACCCCCCCAACCACCCACCCAAACAGGGTTTAGGGTTTAGGGTTTAGGGCTCTCCAAACCCTAAACGCAAAGCACCAAACCAAACACCTTACACAACCATGTTTTCCCAATGTACCCTCCCCATAACCCCCTTGAAGTACATCTGACCCCAAACCCTAACACCCCAACCCTTAAGCCAACTTCTGAGTCCGCAGCCAGACAGATTGCGCTTAACTTCCAGAACGTTGGCAACAGCATAGACTGTATCCTTTGGTATCAGGGTTTAGGGTTTAGGGTACGATGGGATAATGGAAAAGAAAATGGAAGCTACTATTTTAGGTTTAGGACTTGGGGTTTAGGATGTATCCTATTCAAGTTGGGATTCAGGGCTTAGGTAGGCTAGTATTATTTCGGGTTTGGAGTTCAGGTAGCTAAATGTCACGAAGCACAATAGATTGCTGTGAGGCACATAGGAATGATATGGGGATGCTAGAAGGCGTGTAGGTATGTTTTTCAAGCACCCGCAGTTCCCGTTGTTCTACAAATGAGGCACAGCATGTTTTAGCTTGGTCGTAAACCCTGAACTAACCCTGAGGGTCCAAGGACCCACATAATAGGACTTTAGAGCCCAAATACTATAATATTAGTGGTAGGCGGGCCCTAACACTCTATTATTTGGGTCCTTGGACCCTTAGGGTATATACACAAAATCCAGCATTGGCATGACGGGATGGGCCTTGGACCTGTGGAAAACTTTTGCTACATATAGACCTTGATATCCTATTTTTTTGGGAGGTACCTGGCTTTATGTCAAGTACCTTCAATGTGTCTAAAAAAATGAAGTAACCCATGCACGGGTAGGGTGTGAGGGTCGAGGTCTAGGTAGGCTTACAATTTGGCCATGATGGCAACATACTTCCATGCCCAAAAGGTTTCTTGAAACTGCGTATCCGGGGTACGAAGATTGTTTTTGAGTCTGCAAATGTCATGATGAGCTGCTACGAAAGAATCTCATGTCTACGCAGGCCCACAGAAGGTACTTCTCAAAAACCTGGCTAGCTCTGGGGAGGGCTGATGACCCAGCTGCCTAAGCCAAAAATCACCGAATCACTTAGAGGCTTCGAATGATGGAGTCGCGGACTGTGAAATTCTGATGCAGATTCCCTAAAGGGTTCAAGGACCCAAATAGTAGGGTTTTAGGGACCAGATACTATTAATATGATGGTAAACACCCCTCACCGCTTAACCCGTAGGCCGCAAAGTCTCCCCAAGCTTTGAGGATGCTAGATCTCCTAAGCCTTCTCAAGCCTCTAAACCTTGTTTTCAACAATTGAAAAAGATCTTTTTATTGATATTGGGTCCAGGTATCCATAAAAATGTGAATTTGTGTTCTACAAGAGCCCAGAAACCCTAAACCCTACCACTGCACCCAACTCCTGGAACACCTCCTTGGCGTCGTCGCCACAGCTATGCCCTACAGCCTTGACCGGTGACATACGGTCTCGGGCCCGTATCATAGGGAAACGGTCTGAGAAGTAGGTACCCAAAAAAAACATGGTAACCCCTAGGGATTCCAGTGGACTATGGTTCAGATTATAGGGCAGTCAAAAAATAGGACCACAAATACTGCAAGTAATGACTTTAGGGGAACAGGCGAGGAATTCTACAAGGAGCTTGGGCAAATTAATTACACGTCTCCACATGCGGGAACTTACTGTTAGAAAGCGCTCGTGTCAACCTGCACTGTAGCCAGCCCCAATATGCGACTAGGCGCGCAAAAGACGCCTTTGATTCTAGAGTTTCCATGAGCCTCTACCAGGAATATACCGGAGATTTGCAGGGACAGATTGGGGCAGTTTCACATATATCTCCATGTCTTTTGACCTGCTCTCTCGACATTGCCAAACTTTCTCGTTCGGCAATGACTCAGATTAAAGGGTGTTACGACTACCAGCTTACAACTTGCTGCTACTGTACTAGGGGTCTGTCTTGACGGCAATGGTCTCCCTCGTACTTTAGGTGGAGCCCCCACCCTTTAATGGTGACTATGAGAGACAGCTGCGATTTTATTATGAGGGTTCTCTTATATTCCACTTCTACCACTGTTAAAGAGTAGGGGATCCACCCAACTCATACTCATGAAGAAACATAAGAGCTATAGTCTAAACTCCTAGTATCCCCCTTAATACCCCCTAGAATACTCCCCTATATAATCCCCTATATAACCTCCTTTAAGGAGATTAGACTATAGCTCATAAGATTCTGGCCCAACTTCCGATTCTCCCTACAGTGCTCCTCCCAATGGTCATCAAAAATACCTTCTCTGCGCTGATTAGCATAGACCACCCATACCTAAACACGGACCTCTAATGGCTACAACAGTCGATGCATGCTGAATCTTTCATACGGTTGATACTCAAAGTCCTGCATGGTGGCAATCTACTAGAACAGCATGATCCCTATGGCAAAAACACTTCGAGTCATGAAGGATTTTCAGTATCGACCGTATCATCCACCCCGAGCCACCTCCCAGCATGAAGTCTAGTACCCGAAGCCGTATGGGAAGCTGTGCAGATCCCTGAGAGGCACCTACAACCCCCTTATCATCACCATGCATCTCATGACTTCCTTTTTTTGGGGGGTTTATGGTTTAGAGTTTGGGATCTTGGAAGCCGAACTATAAACCCTACTCTCCGTGCAAGTCCTTTTGCCTTCCTCCAAACTTTCATAGAAATCTCCAAAGCAACCCTTTTACAGGAATGTAGTCTTGAATAGACCCTCTTGGGGTTTCTTACCACTCACCTCCCACTCGCAATATCCGCTGTCCCACCCCCCCGGGAAGATAATGAAGACTCCAATTTATAGCCTCCCTTAAGATGGAATATGGGGTAAATGGGGATCTTACTAGAATATACCCAAAGCAATATTCTATCTACTTAAGGGGGGCTATAAACGTAGTGGTACTGTATACTAGGCGTATTTATAATCAGCGGGATGGAAAGGGTTCATAGTCGAACCTAATTAACCCCAAATCCTTCGCAATGTGATACGCATAATGTATATTATCCTTTCCCGTCCTCTATATACATGACCCCTATATAAAACCCTAAACCCTAAACCATGAATAGCCCTAAACCCCAAACCCCAAAACCGACCCTCTTGAACCTTAAACCCTGAAACCGAAACAGGTTACATCAACCTTGGGCCCACCTCTGCAGAGGTCTCCGCCACGCCTAGCGCGACGTGCCCAGTAGCTGCTTCCACAGCCTATCGCAGCAGGAGGAGGCCGATTTAGGCTTCAGGGTTTACCCTAGGGATCCTAAGGGGGATACTCGAAGTTTAGAATATAGCTCATATTGGGGTCCCCCTGTTTATGGAAACTACCACGTACGGATCCTTGTTTTGAGTTTTTTCAGCCCCGGCAAGCTACCGCAACCCCCAAAACCCTAGGGATCCAAGTAGCCCAACGTAGGTAATATCTACAGACTTTGGGGCCCATTGTAGGTATTATTTGTATACTTAATAACCCCCCAAATATACTCCCCTATATAATCCCCGAGGTAATCCCCTTGAAGGAGTTTAGACCATGGCTCATATGGACCCGAAGGTATTATAGTCAAGAAAAAGGGACTCCCAAAATGTTCCCCCTTTCTCAGGAAACTATAGACCCCCTTAAGTAGATAGCATATGTCTTTGGGTATGTTATAATAAGATTCCCCTATACCCCATATTCTATGTACTTAAGGGGGACTATAGCACGACTACATTTTAAGTTCTAAGTCAGGACACCCCATGCAAGGCTTCTGGGGACCCTTAAGCCTAAACCCTAAGCCCTAAACCCTAAGCCCTAAGCCCTAAACCCCATGCCCTTGGCCCTAAACCCTAAACCCTTAGCCCTAAACCCTAAACCTGCAGTCTATACACTCCTAAGATCCCACTTGATAACCCTAGGGGTAGTTTTTTTCTTTTTGCAGCCCCCTTTGTCGACCTGGTTTTTAGGGTTTAGGGTTCAGGGTTTGGGGTACACTCCTAGTATCCCTCTTAATTACCCCTATTATGATAATTCCCCATATAACTCCCTACATAATCACCCTTGGAGGAGATTAGACTATAGCTCATATGCCCAAGCCTCCAGGTACAGCCGTGAAAACTCTGTAGAGTTGTGCGATACATGCATCGCTTTTTGCCAGCTGCAATGAAGATCATGCTGCTGCTGCGAAATGCTCTTGTGGCACTCCAATCCTAATACTACGTGTGGCAGAAAGCATCCTGACCTGACTACTTTTGTGATGACGGTTAAGGGATGCGAGCTTCTTGGGATTGGGACGTACATAGGGTTGAGGGCAAAACGGTGGGTGGCGAAAGCCTGCGAAGGTAGGAGCATTAATTTATCAGGGAATGTGTGTACGCAGAGTCTTGATTAACAGTTGAGAGCAAATTAGCAGGGCTGAAAAGCAATCTCAATGTGGAACAAGTCCAGCTACGAGGGATGTGAAAAGCTCTGCTGCCACTCTTCGCTGCTTCCTGGATCACAGCCCTAAACCCTAAACCCTATATAACCCATGATAGCAGTTTCCATTTTCCTTTCCCTTAAGTCTATATAACTCTCACAGCCCTAAACCCTAAACCCTATATAACCCATTAAAGTAGTTTCCGTTTTCTTTTCCATTATCCCTATATAACCCCTATATAACCCGTATATAACCCTAGTGGGTTCCATGTTCTTTTCCATTATCCCTATATAACCCTTGTAGTAGTCCCCTAACCCGCCCCATTAAGGAGTTGAGACCCTAAAACCCTAAACCTTTAAGGAGTTTAGACTATGGCTCATGTAGCGTTCAGAAGTTGGGGAGGTGGGCCGGCGGAAGCTCTGTCCCAACAGCGTTGTTAGGGCTGTCAAGCGCACCTGGGTTGCTGTTAAGAAACTTAACTTTAGCTACTATAAGGGTATATAGGGGGTCATGTATATAAGGATATATAGGGTTTAGGGTTTGGGGGCTTAATTTAAGTTACTATTTTGGGGGAAACCCTTTAAATTACCACATATACATATATATATACCCGTTGTGGTAACTCCATTATGGTAACTTAATTTAAGTTCCTTAGCAGCAACCCAGTTACGCATCTTCTGGTCAGGAAGGCATTCGGCCAGAGGCTGGGCGCTGGAGTCGAAAGTGGCCTCAATCCTGGGTTCTTGTTGCAATACTATTGAGTATATGTTTAACAACATTTCCTTAATTGTTTGATCTATATTGGGCCAAGGTATACATAAAACTGCAAAAAAGTTGTTCAACGAGAACCTAGAATCACTACAGGGATCTGGTACTCCCCAGCGCTGTACATAGGCCCGTTATTGTTGCCATGTATGTGGACCACCCGCAAGCCCGCCATCTCCAACTTTTTCATGGCCTTCAGGTAGCTAGCGTGATGAAAGCCCTCATTCCTGGGTTGCTGTTAAAGGAGCTTAAATTAAGCTACTATAGATACCGCTTATGATGGAAAAGAACATGGTAAATGAAATGGAAACAGGGGGGAATATAGAGATTTACGGAACTTGGTTTAAGTTAGTATATTGGGGAAGCCACATTGATTACCATATATACCCATTATGGCAACGTAATTTAAGTTCCTTAACAGCCACCGAGGTTCAGCCTGTGGAATTCGATGACGAGCTGTCGGAAGCGCCTAAGCACTGAGACATCGGCGGCCGCGAGAGCACCCCACTCAGAGCCCTCAATGTCAATCTTGCCAAAAAGGGTCCTATCGCCTGCTGCTCCCTGGCCCGTGTGCTGCAAGGTCTCGGCCAAGGTCCATGCAGGCTTCGGGCCGCCGGGCGCGGAAAGGCAGCTGCGGAAGAAATGGCAGCCTGGGCACACCTGAGCCGCCTCCTTCACGGTGCAATCCATCTGATACACGGGGACGTGCCATGTAGCAGCCACATCGCCAGACCATTTGTCATGATGTTCTACGCCCATGGAGTATGCAGCCGTTACGCCGTACATGTGGTCCATGCACATGAGATAGCCACCATCATTCGGCTCGCCAAAGCGTTGAAAGTTCTGGCAAGCCCCACAGACTCGGAAGCTACGTAGAAGGTCCTTGGTGGCACCCTCAGGCAAAGTTGCAGCGTACTTTTCCAAGGTGGCCTGTAAGGCCTTTCCCTCGTCTAGATCCATCTGCACACTCAACTCCGTATCGTTAAGGTTCATTGGTGAAGGCATGCCCTGCCTTAGCTCCATCTCCTCACTGGAGTGCGGTTCCTTGCGCTTCAATCCTGAAGCTACGATGACAAACAACGCGCTGAGCGCGAAGCCCATGAAGCCCATGCCTGCAGCCATTCTGTGCTGGCAAGGGGGCGGTGGTAGAACAATGGTTGGAAGCGTGTGTTAGCCTGAGCCAAACTCAGAGAGGTTATAGGGATTATATAGGGATAATGGAAAAGAAAATGGAAACTACTGTAGCGGGTTATATAGGGTTCAGGGTTTGGGTTAAGGGAAAAGAAAATGGAAAGTACTATTTAGGGGGGCATGCAAACGATCAAAGTCTGAAGCCAGATGCGTTTCCTCCTGACCAGGAGTGTAGTGCAGCGTATGTTGACAACACACCCTAAACCCTAAACCCTAAACCTACCCCATCATGCGATCTCTGTGTTCCTTTCTCCATCTCGGCGCTATCCCGCGGTGAAGTCAACCCAGCCCCTAAAGGGGCTATATAGGGGCTATATATAGGGGTTATGTAGGGGTTATGTAAGGATTATATAGGGGCAATATAGGGGTTATATAGGGATAATGGAAAAGAACATGGAAACTACTATTTAGGGTTAGGGTTCCAAAGTTCCAGGCAGACAAGTCTGTTGCTGAAAGGCTTTCCAACCGTCTGATCCGTAAACTCTCAGAACACCTTTCTGGCTGTGCTCAGAGATTTGTTCTTCAACAGGTTAGCTATAGTCTAAACTCCTAGTATCCCCCCGAATAAGCAGTATGATACTCTCCTATACAACCCCCTATATAACTCCCTTTTACTCCGAGCATCCCTCTAAATATCCACTATGATACTCTCCTATATAATCCCCTATTATATATCCCCTTTTAGGAGTTTAGGCTGTCGCTCAGGTTAAAGTAGGATTCCCCAAAGCTCCCTGACCCCTTGACGGCTAAGACGCTGTCTGCTGGTCTCTTGCTTGGCCTACAGACTTTTGGGGTTTAGGGTTTAGGGTTTGGTCCTTCAGAGTTTAGGAGCCAAAATCCTCAACCCCAAAACCCTAAAAGGAGAGTAATGGCACCCCCAACCCCCAAAGTATCCCAAAGTGACTTAATGGTGCTTAAGGAGGTAGCGCGAGTGGATCCCTGTAACTATCCCCATAAACTGCCCATATCTGTGTACGTATATATATATATATACATATATATATATATTGAATAGTTATAAATAATTTCAATAACTATAAGTATAATTACCATATCTAAATACATGTATCTGTCGCTCTCCCCCTCCCTGTTTCCTACCTATGCACTCACCCACTTCTATTGGGTGAGTGAGTGGCTATGTTGCTGGTCAGCCAGCCAACCCTAGACCACGCGCTTAACCCTAAGCCTCGACTTCCAAAGCTGGACAAAAACATCGCATCGGCGCCTGAAACACCTCCGCACCGGCTTTTAATGAAGAGCGCCCGAGGACTCGGAGATCTTCTTGCCTCAGCACTTTGCGATGTTCTGGGTGTTAAGAAAACAGAGGTACCCTTGGGGACTCACGAGATATATGGTTATTACGCAGGGTGTATAGAGGTTCCTGGTACGAAGTTTGTACAGCTTTTGAGAAGCTACGATAGGAGTTTTCTCACAACTTGGGGCACCTTTGTCGAGACTATTGACTAAAGGCACCATCGACTGAGGGCGCCGTTGCCTAAGGGCAATTCTGCACATCCTGCGGTATGTAAGTGGATCGGGCCTTGGGCAAAACAAAGGCATGTATGGCGAAGTCTGAAGACAAGGGGCTTCTCTCTGGCGCAGTAGGGACATACTTAAAGTGAATAGGGGATGGTAGATGAAGGCCATTCCTTGAAATAAGGGTGCCCCTACTTACGTGCACCCGGATGAATGTAGTCCTCGCCAGAGCGACCCTGAAAGGCATCCGAAGCAGCTGCTCTCGAACCGGAACTTTCTTCTGTTAGGATCCCCTTGCGTTCTATATCAGCTCCGACGCTATACCTTTTGGCCCGCAAATCCTAGAGCCCCAAACTTTACAAGATGAACACCAAACACTAAAGCGTCCACGCTGCTGACAGCATATGTCGTGACAGAAGGCTCATGTCCCAGCAATGTAGGTGCATTTGAAGGTTTATCCAAAGACAATCCTTACCATCTCCTCATTCTCACTATACTTTAGGTGGAGCCCCTACCCTGTAATGGTGGAATCGTAGGCATGGAAGAGGACCCTATCCCCCATTGTCACTGTTACTTGGTGACGGGTCCACGTAACCCATCATCCCAAAGGGCAAAATGCCAAATCCCCATAGGGTTTAGGATGTAGGATTTAGGGTTTAGAGTTTAGTGTTTAGGGTTTAAGGTTCACGATGTATCCCTAAAACACCATAGCGTGGTTTGTTGACATTTATTCTGCCTCTTTTGGTCCTCTGCATATTGCAGGCTCCAATATATGACTTTCCCCAAGCCTTGGGGGATAATTTTCACAGCCCCACGGTACTACCAATTGTTGGGGTCCGCCCAATATAACCACCCAACATACTATGCATTATTCCGACCCTCAAAAAGGCACCCTAAACCCTAAACCCTAAGCCCTAAACCCTAAACCCGAAACCCCTCCCTGCGCTGCTGGCAGCCGCTGGTCTGTGAGCCGGGCCATCGTTCAGAGTTGGCGGGAAGCTCGCGGCAAATCTGGCCGGCCTCGACTCCCTCAACCCTAAACCCTAAACCTTAAAACCCTACCAGGACCCTCCTTGTATCCCCATGGTCCCTAATAGTGGGTACTTAGGCCCGTAGGCCTTAATAGAGGGTAGGAGGAGCGTCTACGTACGCCCTAAACCCCTAAACCCAAATGCTATTTCAAATTTCGGGTTCAGGCCTGAGGCTCCCAATTCCGCAATGCAGGTATCATATCATATACATGACATGCCTAGACTTAGGGTCCATGGTAGGTATGATTCAGGCTAGGCCCCCACCCACCAAGAGTGGTATACTAGGAATATATTCAGGGGGCCCAAGATAATTACCCTCATCCCTGTATGGTGGTCACTATTCGCGGGTGGAAGCCCAACCTAAGGTAATATAGTAATATTCATAGACTTGGAGCGCCCAAGTTATGGCTAAGAAGTTCGGTGGTTTAGGTGTAGGGATCCCAGGCACTTAGGGCTTGGCCAAGGAGTTGGGGATTCAGGGATTACGGGGGTTAGAGATTTAGGAAGAGTAGGTGCAGAGGTGGATTAGAGCTGTTGGAGGTACCTGGACAAAAGAGCAGAACATGTGTGTACTTATGAGCATTGTTTTTTCCTTATAGAAATTCTTCTACGAACATGGGGGGCCTACGCGAGCTACGCGGGATGGTTGTTCTCCCTGCGTGAGTGTCTACGCGGGGATACTCTTGCGATTCAGGTGACTACGCGGACTACGC